TACGCAGTTTGCATTGAGCGTTACGCAGTTTATGTTCAGCGTTACGCAGTTTGCATTGAGCGTTACGCAGTTTACGTTGAGCGTTACGCAGTTTATGTTCAGCGTTACGCAGTTTATGTTCGCGTTACGCAGTTTATGTTCGCGTTACGCAGTTTGCATTGAGCGTTACGCAGTTTATGTTTAGCGTTACGCAGTTTACGTTGAGCGTTACGCAGTTTATGTTCAGCGTTACGCAGTTTATGTTCAGCGTTACGCAGTTTATGTTGAGCGTTACGCAGTTTACGTTGAGCGTTACGCAGTTTACGTTGAGCGTTACGCGGTTTATGTTCAGCGTTACGCAGTTTACGTTGAGCGTTACTCAGTTTATGTTCAGCGTTGCGCAGTTTGCATTGAGCGTTACGGCTAGTCACGCAATAGGGTTTACATTTTTAAATTGTTTTCGGCTCACTCAGTGCCCACTCAGTGCTCACTTTTCCTCATTTAGTGCATTTTGTGGTCAAATTCGTGTAAACACACCATTCTGGCGCAGTAAAAGCCTCCATTTGACGCGCTAGAAGGAGTACGTTTAGACAAATTAAGCAAAAAGTACGCGGGAGTACGTTTAGACAAATTAAGCACAAAGTCCACGGATCTCGATCCTCGCCTATTGAAGCGAATAAACAAGCGACATGAGGTGTACTTTGTGGTTGCCTAAACGCACTGAATGCGCACCTCTTCTAGCACACTGAATGTCTCCATTTGATGCGCTAGAAGGGATGCGTTTACGAGCACAAAGTACACAAAGGAAAAGTGATCGCCTCTTGGCCCACTGATCAAAAAGATAAAAGAGCATAAAAATCAAAATTTTTGAAAAATCTTCAAAAAAAAGCTTCAGAAAGCACAAAAATATGCAACTAGACGTTAAAAAAATCAAGAAAAAAACCCGTGAATAATGAATAGTTTCCGTAAAAAAGCCGATAATGACGCAAAACTTGGGTACAAATGTTTGCCGTAATACTAATCTTCTAGATTTTGAACTCTAGAATCAAGTTGGTCAGTTAGAAGTCTAATCTGGGATTCTGGGCAAGCTTGCCAATGGCAAAGAGACTGGCGCGTATCGGGCACGTAATTTCCGATAACCAGTTTAAAAAAATTACACGACTACAGAGTTAAGCCTAGACTTGACCTTAACTCAGCTCTGGTTTTCCCTTTAACTCAATTTTTGACCAAGGTAAGTTTATAAAGCCAAAAATAGCTTAGACTTGGTCCTGATTCAGGTCTGCTTTGGTTTTTATTCCAACTTTAGACAGACAGACAGACAGACAGACAGATAGACAGACAGACAGACAGACAGACAGACAGACAGGCAGACAGATAGACAGACAGACAGGCAAACAGATAGACGGACAGATAGACAGACAGACAGGCAGACAGATAGACAGACAGACAGGCAGACAGGCAGACAGACAGACGGACAGATAGACAGACAGGCAGGCAGACAGACAGACAGACAGATAGACAGACAGATAGACAGGCAGGCAGACAGATAGACAGACAGATAGACAGACAGACAAACAGAAAGACAGACAGACAGACTTTAGAATGGCTTTGAGCTTGGAACTTGTTTTCTCTTGCCTATCCAAGCTTGTTCTACTTGTTAGCCAAGCTTGTTAGCCATATTCTGACCCAAAGAAAATAGACCAGGTCATTCTTCAATTTCTAGTGCAAACCCTTTCCTTGTGAACTTGCCACTTCAAGCATGCAAGAGGAAAAGTTCGTGACGACAAGTCACGAAAAAGCCGCAGCAATCTAATAAGACACCAGAAATACCGTACCCTAAACAATGTCGCGTATAAAAGGGCAGTTTTTGTCTCAATTTCGTCGATTTTTGTCTTGTGAATTAGTTTTTGCGAATTAGTTTTTGATAAATTGATTTTCATAGTTAAAAAACTTTATTTACTATTTAAAAATCATAACTAAATGCTAGGAAAATTGAAAATTTAAAAATCGAAGCGCCAAAAATGGTGTCAACGTTGAGAGAGCTCAATTTAGGCGGGAGCTACTCAAAAAAGGGAAAAAAAAAGGAGGCACAAAAGGGAGTACATTCATCTGATGATGGACTGACGGAAGTTTGGGGAAAGGGAAAGGGAAAAGAAAGGGAAAAGGAAAGGAAAAAGGAAAGGGAAAAGTGGGGAAAAGAGAGCGATATCACATAGATGACACTCACACTCAACTACATCACATAAAAAGGGGGTAAACGACTTGTCATCACCCCCATTTAGCTTGTCTTGTCGATGGCTTGGTATCGCTGTTTAGGAATTCTTCTCAAGATTACGAACAAAAGATTCAAGACTACTTTTCGAGTTACTTTACTTTATTTAGATAGCAAATGGGCTTGGGCTTAGGCTTGGGCTTAGGCTTGGGCAAATGGGCTTGGGCTTAGGCTTGGGCTTAGGCTTAGGCTTGGGCAAATGGGCTTGGGCTTAGGCTTGGGCTTAGGCTTAGGCTTGGGCTTGGGCAAATGGGCTTGGGCTTAGGCTTAGGCTTAGGCTTGGGCAAATGGGCTTGGGCTTAGGCTTGGGCCAGGCTTGGGCTTGGGCAAATGGGCTTGGGCTTAGGCTTAGGCTTAGGCTTAGGCTTGGGCAAATGGGCTTGGGCTTAGGCTTGGGCTTAGGCTTGGGCTTAGGCTTAGGCTTAGGCTTGGGCAAATGGGCTTGGGCTTAGGCTTGGGCTTAGGCTTGGGCTTGGGCAAATGGGCTTGGGCTTAGGCTTAGGCTTAGGCTTAGGCTTGGGCAAATGGGCTTGGGCTAGGCTTGGGCTAGGCTTGGGCTTAGGCTTGGGCTTAGGCTTGGGCTTAGGCTTGGGCTTAGGCTTGGGCTTAGGCTTGGGCTTAGGCTTAGGCTTGGGCAAATGGGCTTGGGCAAATGGCTTGGGCAAATGGCTTGGGCAAATGGCCTGTGCAAATGGCTTGGGCTCAGGCTTTAGGCTTAGGCTTAGGCTTAGGCTTGGGCAAATGGGCTTGGGCAACTGGGCTTGGGCTTAGGCTTGGGCAAATGGCTTGGGCTTAGGCTTTAGGCTTGGGCAAATGGGGGGGACAGATAGACAGACAGACAGACAGACAAACAGCTTGATAGACAAACAGACGGACATACATACAGACAGACAGATAAATAGACAGACAAACAGACAGACAGACAGACAGACAGACAGCCACCCCATAAATAACTCAAACGATAAATTCTGATAAATTACTCAAAAGTAATGGCACTTAGACCACCCTTATTTTACTACATTGTTTGAAACTTTGCAATTAATGTTTTTCGATGATTCTTGTTGGACGCTTTGAATTTGATACTCACTAGCCATTATATTTGTTACACGAGCAACCTATGAGCTTTTCGAGTCACTTTTGTGGTAGAAATCAAAGCCATTCTTTGAATCGGAGAGAGGAATGATTTTGTGAGAAGATTAGATCTTTTAAAAATACCGACTGGGGCTACCAGTGGTGAATTTATCGCATACACGAAATATATCAATCACAATACAACGACACACACAATACTAGGCTATATCTTAACTTAAACCACGTCATGACAGACGGCTCCCTAACCCTAAGCTCAATGGGGAACTAAATAGCTTTTTTGGTGGTGAAGGGAAGATGACGATGAAGAAGTGGCTTGTCACTTTAAAGAACTGGGGCCACAACCACCAGACTGCCCTCCAGAAAACCTCTCAACCCGAAGGGAAAGGAAATCCGAAGGGGGTGACCATGTCGCATGTGGGGTTCGAACCCTCGACCTTCCGATTAAGATAAAAGACACTTAACCAGTCAGCCCACACGTGCTCACTTTGTCGGCAATATTTGAAACGAACTTTTCAAAGCAGTCGAAGATTTTCATGTTGTTTCTTCTTCTTTTTCGCTTTTTTCATTCGTTTCGCCTTTTTGCATTGTTTACAAGGACGATTTTGTTGCGTTCTCTCATCTCAACTTTCTCCTTTTGCTTTTTGATTCTCTCTTTTGCAAGACGACTGTCCAGGCTCTCCCGGCATACGGTCTTGTCCCGGCTGTCCATCAGCACCACTAGCATCCATCATATAAGCCAATAAATGTGGATTACGGTCATTTGGGCATGCTTTAGCGAGGAAAAAGTCTTCAAAGGGGATTTTTGGGGTTTAAGTTGTTCGAATTTTTGACAGATTTATCCAATTTGTTTTACTGTTTCTTTTAAAATCAAGAGCAGACTCTTGGCAATCAAATTCATTCCTTAATAAGACAGACTGCTATGTAACAGCTGTAGAACGCTATGTAGCAGCTAAACAGCTATGTAACACCTGTAGAACGCTATGTAACAGCTATGCGACACTGTAGAACGCTATGTAGCAGCTATGTAACACTGTAGAACGCTATGTAGTAGCTAAACAGCTATGTAACACCTGTAGAACGCTATGTAACAGCTAAACAGCTATGTAGCAGCTATGTAACACTGTAGAACGCTATGTAGCAGCTAAACAGCTATGTAACACCTGTAGAACGCTATGTAACAGCTAAACAGCTATGTAACAGCTGTAGAACGCTATGTAGCAGCTATGTAACACTGTAGAACGCTATGTAACAGCTAAACAGCTATGTAACAGCTATGTAACACTGTAGAACGCTATGTAGCAGCTAAACAGCTATGTAACAGCTGTAGAACGCTATGTAGCAGCTATGTAACACTGTAGAACGCTATGTAACAGCTAAACAGCTATGTAGCAGCTATGTAACAGCTGTAGAACGCTATGTAGCAGCTAAACAGCTATGTAACGGCTGTAGAACGCTATGTAACAGCTAAACACTGTAGAACGCACTGATATCCTTTTTGTAATGTATGAGTCGATTTTGTGTAATGTAGAACCCTGTAGCACTGCAGAAAATTGCAAGAAATTCGACCGATGAGCTTTTTTGCTTTCACCTGCTTTCATTTGCATTTATCTTCAACATTGAATGTAAAACTTTATTCTCTTCAAAGCCAGTAACTCTATTGACGACGCGAGAAAACAGCGCTGCGCGGTGGGCAGGCACAGTAAGCGGCATCTGGTCCAGGCATACCGTCAGCTCCAGGTTGTCCAGGCTCTCCAGGCATACCGTCTTGTCCGGGCTGTCCATCAGCACCACCAGGTCCTTGTGGTCCGTTTTGTCCATCTTGTCCTGGAGCACCATCATTTCCTTTAGGTCCTTGTGGTCCAGGGCGTCCAGCTTGTCCAGGTCTTCCGGGTTGTCCAGGAGTGGCCACAGTTCCAGGTCTTCCAGCCTGTCCAGGACGTCCAGATTGTCCAGGTTGTCCAGGTTGTCCAGGCTCTCCAGGCTCTCCCCGTGGTCCAGGGTGCGAGTCTTGTCCCTTTGGTCCCATAGGTCCTTTGGGTCCAGGGCTTCCAGCAGCTCCAGGTTGTCCTTGGGGTCCTTGGGGTCCTTGTGGTCCCTCTGGGCAAGTGATGCATCCACCAGGAATATCATGAGTAGCCGCAAGAGCAATACCCTTAACTCCATCCCGTCCATCATCTCCAGGTAATCCATCGTCTCCACGTGGTCCAGGCTCTCCAGGTGGTCCAGGAGGTCCAGCAGGGCATCCACGAGAAGATGGGCCACAGTTGCAAGTCTCAGGCGCTTGACGCTTTCCACGACGAATACCGACAACAGATTGGAAAGTGGCGAGTGGCGCTGGAGTGGCAGCGGATCCGATCACAGGCATGCCCATCATACGCTCCCAAGTGTCATCAGCCATCATCTAGAAAAGGAGAATGGCTTTAAATAGTTTGGCCAGCTTTCCCAGCTAGCCAGCCAGCCAGCTGCTTACCTTCACTTCGAACATGCTCTTCTCGACATCGGTTTGGAGATCGTTGAGATCGCGAACGATCACTCCAACGGAAACGAGCGATATCAACACAACGGATAGAGAGGCCGCCGAGGCCACGCCAACGATAAATGTCATCTGAAAGCTAGGGATTAATTGAGAAATCTGGGTTGAGATTCTGTTAGACAGGAGATCTTAGAGAACGACGATCACCGCTGTTATGAGCCTCTTGGAAGGAGGGCGGGCATGGGTGCCTATAGCTCAGTGGTAGGGCTCTCGCCTGGGAGGCAACCCGCGAGCCCAGGTCCCGGGTTCGATCCCCCGGGGAGCCTAGGCCTAAGCCCTAAGCCTAGAGAGTGCATCCCTTTCGGAAACTCATAGCGGAACTTTAGTATTAGAATTAGAACTATTAGAAGTTTACTATTTATCAATATCAGACTAGGAATAGGCACTACTAAAGGACTAAAGCAAGTACAGTACTCTATCCAACTCGTCTACCGCAATCCTAGTCAAAGTAAGCAACAAGTAAGCCAAATCCATAGAAAATCGATCCTTAAAATCTACTATAGCTCATGTCTGAGTTCTAAATCGAAAATCGATCCCTGCCGTAAACCCAACCGTATTCAAAGGTTAATAAACTGCAGTAATAAAGCTACAGTAAGCCGCTACAGCTGCAGTAAGCCGCTACAGTAAACCTAAAGCCACAGTAACAAAACCTAAAGCTACAGTAACAAAACCTAAAGCTACAGTAAACCTAAAGCTACAGTAAACCAGCTACAGTAAACCTAAAGCTACAGTAAACCTAAAGCTACAATAAACCTATGGCTACAGTAAACCTAAAGCTACAATAAACCTATGGCTACAATAAACCTAAAGCTACAATAAACCTATGGCTACAATAAACCTAAAGCTACAGTAACAAAGCTACAATAAACCTAAATGTTCTAAAATTTCTAAAAAGAAAAATTCTTAAAGTGCAGCTAAAACTACCATAAACTTTCAACCAAAAGCAAACCTAAACGAACCGATTCTTAAGTGCACCTAGAACTACCGTAAACCGTAAACTACCGTAAACCAATCGTAAAGCCTAATAACCACCCTAATAACAGTAAACCAAATAAGAAAATACCAAAGCGAACCTTGTAAAAGAAGCTGTTCGAAGACTGCTCAAAATTCCCCGGCCGCATCCCCATTTTATACTCGTCAGCCCAATCGGCTATCAGTTCGGCATTCCAAGGTTTTTTTTGCGGCCAAAATCTCTCTCAAAGTCGAAAAACCCAAAGAAATCCCGAAAATCCCGAAAAAAACGGGAAAAAGAACCGCCAAGGTCAATGCGGGGATGGCAAAATTTTCGTTTTTCCGCTTTTTTTTCAATTTTTTTTCTTTTGGGATTTCTTTTGGGATTTCGTTCTCTTTTCTTTAGCTGACATCTCACTTTTTATCGCCGATAAACTTTTCTTTTTTTGGGTAATGAAAATTTCGGTGATGACCTTCGCGACTGAGTGCCCGGGAAACATTAGCCAAAAAAACAAAAACGCTGAAAGTTACTTACTGAAAGTTAAAATAAAGTCGCTTACTGAAAAAGTGCTTTTTGAAATTTCTATAGCCAAACCATGTAATTTTTGGTGAAAATTTTGGTTATTTAACTAGAAATTTCGTCATTTTATTGTTTTTCTGCTTATTGGGGAGTTTCTGTTTTCTGCTATCGAAGAAATGAAGAGAAAAACCATAATGCAATTAGCTGCATATGGCTGCAAAAGTTGCTAGAAGTTGTTTCAAAAGAAACAACAGAAAAGCTGCATCAGGGACCGAACCCCGGTCCAGTGGGCGGAAGCCGAACCCATTAACCACTAGGCCACCGACATCGCTTTTCCCTGCTAGGAAAAAGCCTTTTGAAGCATTTGAAACATCCGTTTTGAAAATTTCGATTGAAGTTCGATTGAACAAATCTAAAAAGTCATTTGGAAGATTTCGATTTTAGATTCGGATTCCTCATAGACGATTCTATAATGTCCAGAAAAAAAGCTCACTTTTAGTTCGTGCCTTTCCCCTTCCTTGACATACCAGAGCTACAGTACCACACGGTTTACAGGAATCTTCGCGCTACCATATCCCAGGTATTCTAGGTGCTACAGTATTCTTGCTTTCTTGCTCCCCATTCTTGCTCTTCATCTTTGTGCCTCCAAGATCTTGTGCAATTTTGTCAATGAACCCATCGTGGATCCACTTTATTTCAAATAGAATGTAATTAATTTTTGAGTCAATTGAAGGAAGGGAAGCCACGAAGCCAATCATCGAGAGAGAGAAATGTATCACAAAAACAAAAACAAAAAATGGCTAAAATGTGAACAAAAGAAAAACTACTAAAAAGGCCTCCTTTGGTGCTAAAAAAAGGGATAAAGAAGGGGAGAAATTTAGCATTGAAAAAGCGAATAAATTGATTACGTGATAGAATTTTTGGACGTAATAGAAAACGGGAAAACTAAAAACTGAATAACAAAGTGAGCAAATCGATTACAAATCTTTAAATCTATTAGCTTTAGAAAAAAAAACTATAGGGTTTCCCTATAAACAAAAAAAAAATATACATGTACTCAAATAGATCACACTTTTTTGGGGTTTTTCGCATTTTTTCGATTTTTTCAAGATTTTTACGGTGGTCGGTGAAAATTTGAATTTTTATTAAGAATTTTCCGAAAAAATCATTTTCTTACAGAGCAATACGGCACCTATTTGGAATTATCCGGGATTACAAAAGGGCTAACAAGAAAATTTTCCACAAAAAAAAACAACTCAAATCTGGGCACTTTTTTTCGCTAGCAGTAGAGCCTCCAAATATTATCATTACTATCATTTAGGCTAGCCTTATAAAATATTAAGAAAATGGGGGAGATTTGCATACAACTGAACTACATACATAAGAAGGCAAGCTGGGAAATAGTTTTTTTTTTGAGGGTGAAAAGGTGAAAGTCTACTGAAAGTGGCTCTAAGATAAGCTTTAGGACCTTTACACCCTTTTCGTAAACAAAACATACCAAAACGTAATTTGAAAATTTACTATGAAGGCACAAAGTTGGTGAGAGAAGGGAAGAGTGGAGAGATTTCATCTTTGAAGCGGTGTCTGCCATCCGTTTATCGTTACCGTTTTCTTAGGCCATCTTCAACATATTGAGCATATTTCCGGCAACTTGCCCCAACATGTGAGCCGTCCTCTTCAATTGAGCATCCGAGGTACGGGAACGCAAATCTAAAAAAACACCAATTATAAGGTATTAAAGGTAGTGCTTTTTAACGTATTGAAGGTTTGCCGTTCAAATTTTCAATTGATAAAACATTTAAAGCTTTTAAACAATGCAATAACCAATTACCTTTAAGTTCGGTGAGCAATAGAGTGAGCACGGCAGGCACATGAAGAGCGATATCCGAGTCGAAGACGTTGATCGCCGGGAGAACATGTTCCATGTATCTAAATGAGATCTAGAAATTTTACAAATTATTGTTCACCTGAATTTCGTATCCGTCTCGTGGCTGAGATTCCGGGTCAGCTGCTGGAGAAAGGGCAAAAGGACGGCTTGAGGGAGGACGTTTTCCTAAATAACTCCTATTAAAGCCAATCTTTAAAATTTACCGTAAGAAAGAGTTCATCAGGATTCACTTGATGGCACACATACAAAAGGGCTTCCTCGTCGGCCAAATTGAGCGCCTAAAGAGATTAGATTAGATTAAAGAGTTTCGTATTGTATTATTCGTTTGCATCTCAAATCTGTAATGATAGTACTAACATGTTCAAAAGCGGCTGGCACACTGCCACTTTGCAAAAGCGAGTGAAGTTGCTGAACAACGAGCTGTCTCTCGGTGGGCAACGGAGCTGGAGTGGCTGAGGCCAACGAGAGTGCGGTGGCTTGTTGAAGGGCTCGTAACTGAAATGAGATAATTAGACCTAAATATCTAACAATTACGAATAAGTATTAGTTGATTGTTCTAAACTCTAAAACGAAACCCAACCTGTCCAAGATACTGCTCGATACCCTGACGAAAATGTTCATTGAGTTGTTTGAAGAGCTGCCCACAAGTGCGCTCAACGGCCGGAATGAGCAACTAGAAACTTTGGGTAAAAATGCATGTCCTAAAATTTCACCTGTTGAATGGCATCTCGCATTTTGTCGTGTACACGTTGATTGATCGCTTCGGATGTGTTCTAAGTACAAATTTTTCTTGAAGTAAAACTTTAAACACTTACTCGATTGTTGGCCTGGATCGATGTTTCTAATGAGAGCGAGTTTTCGTTGAGCGCGTTTCTCACCTAAATATATGCATTATTATTCACCTCAGTTTTCCAGTTTTTTTCCAATAAATTTCCGAGACACGAACCGTGGTCACTGTATGCTCACGTGATTGCTCTATACATTCGGAGACATTCGCAAGCAGTCTTTCTTCTCGTAGAGCCATTTCTTCCTCTGAAATTGAATTTTTACCCAAACGTTTTAAAAAGGATGCTTGTATCACACCATGTGCCAACTAGTTTGAACTTACTGAATTGTTGCAACAATCGAATAACGTCTTCGTTCGTGGTAATCGACCGGCGCTCGGTGTCAACGCGATCGGCTCTTAAGCCAAAGATTTATTTTGAACTTTTACCAAAACTAACCGGACAACAAGTTTTTCGACTTTCTCATTCAATTCATCAAATCTCGAGTGCAATTCGGCAAGGTTTTGTGGAGAGATTCCGGCAGCCACTGCAAGTAAACCACCACCATTTCCCGATGACGACGGACCGGCAGCTGCGCCGAGTCTAAATTGCAATTTGTTTAACGTGAAGTCTGGCGCCTAAATTTTCTGTTAGCTATTTCTACATAGCAAAACTAATTGCTTAAAATTCCAAAAACTTACGCGTCCCGATGAGTAGCCAAATCGACAGTGTCGCAGCTTGGCGCCGCCTCCGAAGTTTTCTCAAGTGTCACGTCCAACTAGAAATAAGTTATATTAAATTTCTACAAGCCTGTCTCTTACTTGAACTAGATTCTTGTAGTTGATGCCACAAAGGTGGACAACGACTCGATTGGCATCCTGTTGCTCTTCATCATCATCGTCGAATGAGGTTTCTGCTTCGTCTAAAAATAGTACATGTAAGCGAGCTTGTAAACTTTCAAGTCTACGATCAAGTATAAAGGATATACGAATATTCAGTCAGTACATTAAAGAAATTACCTTTAGCCTCATTTCCCTCGGTGATTCCATATGGTACAGCAGTGACAAGTGGATGACAGAAGGCAATCTATAAGTCTTGAATCAAAATTTCAATTTAACATGAGCTTACTTGTGTGACGGCCGCAAATTTCGGATACATTTGACTATAGTCCAACTCAACGCAGAAAATATTCTAAAATAGGTTGAAGTTTAAAAAAAAACAAGCAACAAACCGCTCCATCAACGTCGATGACGAGAAGATATTTCGCGGACGGGTCAATGTGCACGGTGAATGGAGCACCTTGGAGAGGAGAATCAAAGCTAAAACATGTATTAAAAAATAATCTTGGCAACTTTTAAAAAAATTACCGTAATCTTCCCACGCATTTCCATGTCAAACAGTCAAATAGATGCAATCGACGTCCACCGTCGCCGACGGCAACGCAAAACTTCCAGAATTGTTCCCTTAAATTGAATAGATTAAACAGAACTCAAATAAATAAATAAACACACACAAAAACTTACTGTGATTTATTCGAAGCATCCGTGTTATCGAGGAAAAAGAGTTGAGAAACGATGTGCCCACCCAAATTCGGATTCCACGTTTGTGCAACTCTGAAAAGTGAAAGCCATTAAAATAACTCCCTAAAGCGCCCAAATTTTAAACCACAAACAAAAAAGTTAGACCAAAAATGTTATGCAGGTTACATGCCTAGAATACTAGACTTGTTATAACACTTGTTATATGAACACCGGCAAAACTTTCGCAAAAAAACTATCATTCCACTATTTCTCTCACCCAACAACATTTTCCAAATTTGGGGATTCCCCAGGCTCAGTTTCCTCATTTTCTGGCAACCTTCTACAAATGAATTGCAGATTTCAATGGTATTCTTTGAGAAAACGGACTTCTTCTCTCCCTCGATCATGTAGAAGAGCACCGATCCGTCACTGATCGCAACGGCCACCGCTGTCGCATCGGGCGAAATACAAACGGCGCCGATTTCGAGGGACTAAAATTAAAATAGCAAAATATCATCTTGTATCTGTAAAAAAATCTACAAATTGGGTCAAAAATGTAATAATAGTTTTACCACTATTATATTTTTGAGAGATTTGAAAAAACTTTTAACCTTGAAATTCTACTTTCCAATATTAAGTTTTAATTCCCTAAAATAATTACCGGGTCCAAAACGATTGAGTGAAGAGCTCCTTCAATATTCCGAATCGATTCGATCGTTGTGTCGTATCCATCTTTATTTGCCGTCTGCACCGCCGAAAGATTGATGATGAGCACACGGTTTCCCTAAAAATACAAAACTTACGAAGGTTCAATTCCATTTTTTTTTTTTAATTGTTTTCGGATATTAGGAGTGCCATGGGCACAGCTAAAACTAGGCTAACCTTGCCGATATCCGTAAAGTATCTTGTTTTATGATACTTACCTGATAAACAGCAATCATGTGTAATTCTTCTGACTCCTCCTCGGGCACGTAGCCACACCATGCCAAACGGGGCTCACTCCATTTAAAATCCGATGCACTGTACATGATATTGACGTATTTGCGCCTAAAGATTAAATGTTTTTGATCAACAGTTGAGCTCTTTAACTATTAAAGAAAACTTTTTATGGTAAAAGCGATAAAGACTCACGCTTGACATTGGTTATTAACTTGGTAGAAGTAGAGATTACACTGTGAGTCGACAATCGCCAAAATCGGCGTGTGTGGAGCCCAAGCGAGGTCAGCTGTCGGTGCACGGAATCCCTGAATGAACCATGTCATACACAGCAATATTTTCAAAGTTTGAGACTGAACCCTACCTTGATCAGCTGTCGTTGTTTGCTCTCTCGTTCCATCACTCGTACCGCATCGACTCCACCCTCGGCTGGCACATTTCGATAGGCGAGCAGGCAATCTCGAACGTCCATCAATCGGCCACCAGCTTCACGACGCTAAAAAGTCTTCGTTTAAACCTGCATAAAAATTATTTTGCCCTGCTTTGTCAGCAAGTCCTTCTTAAAACTATCAATTTAAGGATAACTTTGGTGCCTCTAACGACCTTTATTTATGCTTCAACTCCAATGATTCCTATTTACCACTCTCTCTCTCTCTTACCTCCCATTTGTACTCGGAGATGATCTGTGTTCGCACTCGAGCGCAATCTCGTTCTCGGCTTCGCGTCTCCTCCAGGGAAAGCACAACGTTGCGTCCCGATGTGAAGCGCACCACGTCATCTGACCCATTCAAAATGCTGCAAAATAAGACAATTAACGTTTTGCAATTAACGTTAAAAACGGAGTCTGTAGATCCACCATCAAAACTTTAAATACGAAAAGATTTCCCAAAAACTTACTGCTTCTCCCAGAAGTTGTTCGGGGAGAGAGCATCTGCTGGAACGACCAGCTCACCCATGCTAGATTCGTGATATTAAACTGAAAAAATAACTTTCAAATTCTGAAAACATCAAAGGCTTAAATCCTCAAAAGAAAACACAAAAATGAGCACCAGAAAATTTATTGTTTGACTAGATGTACAAGTAAAACACAAACGAAGGAGGCAATCTACGAAATTCAAGAGATCAATGAATGGCAACACTGGCAACACCGATACTTGCAACGCTATCCGAAACACTATCAGAAATCGAATCCGAATGGCAATATTGTTGAAGAAAGAGTGATGGGAACCAGTATTGAACGGGTTCGATTTGATTGTCCATCCAAGCCAAGCCCTCTTTCACGAGATGATCCAAGGCGGTTTGCGCTCGAGCGTCACTCCATCTGAACAGATTTCTTTTGAAATTTAGAGAAATTACAGCTAGCAGTGCCATTGGCAGTTTGGGTTATTGATTTTCAGTTTAACAGTGGTACATTACACTTCTTATCACTAAACATTAATGCCCAGGCTAAGTACAGTCGTCAAAAAAGTCTTGACCGGCCAATATTTTCTCCCGTTAAATCGCATTCAAATAAATCGATCTCAATTAGTTTTTTGTAGTATTTTGTGATAGCTTTAAGATGATATTCTTAGATTTTTGATGTCGCTCTAAATAGAATCTTTCAAGCTCCTTTTGCATGGGAGGGTAAGGTGCTTTTTCTCAGATTTTGTTCAAGGCTTCAAAACTCCCGAGTAGTCTTTCATTTTCACCAGAACAAAATTAATAAATAAGTAATAGACAATCCAATGCCATTATAATTGGAGCCATTTTCAATGGGTTCCATTTACAATTCATTTCTGAAATACAGCTTTTTAAAAATCATGCTCAAATAAGGTTTTTCGATCATATAATTCTCAGTTCAAAGGACATCGAAAAGCCAAATGGTTCATTTTAGCAACCTTTGAAAATGCTACATAAAACTTTTTGTGGTCAATATATTTGGATGTGATCTATGGATCAAGTGAACACTGACCGGCCAAGACTCTTTTTGACGACTCGGTGCCCTGAAAAATTTAGCTAACTTGCCCAAAACATCTGCTTAGGCAATCAAAATACATTTTCAAGCACTAATGCTATGTTGATAATTTTAACAAGCAAAAATTCTCGGTAGCCCTGAAAAAGTTTCAAAAAGAAAATTTCATCATAACCTGAAATCCTTTTCTTTTTTGTAAAATAATAAGTTTTTCAAATGCACATACCTTAAACGATCGATCACCAATTCTTTGGTTGTATAAGCTGTATCCTCGGCCAACTCGAGTACTCGCAAATGATCCATGGAAAATTCGCCTAAATTGAGAATGTACACAAAACAATCCACATTTATATACCTGGCACTGATTGAACCAAAAATCGTCCACCTCCAAGAGGAATTCGCTCGAAGCCAGCGCCCAGAACCTTAAAAAATGATAAATTAACAAAAACAAAACAAAAAAACAAATGATCAAAAGAAAAATGAAATAACTGCCTACCTTCAACTTATCGACGGCCCTCAAAATGTCATCAGTTGTGATAGTTTCTTTTCGATATCGACTCCGACTTCGCATCAATCGATTCCGAATTTCTTCGACTGTCATCAACCCACCATTGATATGATTTGTAGAAAGGCAAACCTGAATAAAAAATAACTCGCAAAAACTACAAAAACTATATCTATTTAATTAAACCAGTCTTTTATCTTTTACAAACTTCTAACAACTTTCATGTCAAAAGCCAAAAATGTTTCTTATGTTAGAAAATTCAACAATCTTTTACGATAGCCAAAACAAGCAAATTTACCTCGACAATTTGCACAGCTAGCTCATAGTAGAAATCACCGACGCCCAGCTTTTCTGCCCAAAATCCTTTACCCGAAGCGAGTGGATCGACTCCGACTGAAGCGCACATCTCCTAAAATTTGAAAAAGTGTAAAACATTGAATTTTTAAAAATTTCGTTTCGTTTCTTCAAAGTTCTATCAAATTCGCAAAACTTTCTATTTAAAAAGATTTCAAAATGTTATACTTGAAAATGACGTCGAAATTGTGAGTTTTTCTTGATCTCATCACGGTGTTTTCGGGCGAATTCCTCTAACTTTTGCGTGAATTCGTCGAGTTGCGACGAGAAGAGACGAAGCTGTTCACCAGCTAGTTCGCTGCCTTTTTGCGAGAATTTAGCCTGAAAAGAAAGAGTTAAACGTAAAGTTTATCAAGAACATAAAGCTTGAGCAGTTCGCAAAATAACTTACCTTATCTTTAACGTATAAAAACAATCAAGATACTTTAACTTTAACTTTAACAAGATACTTCAACATTTTCATTACAAGAAAACTAACTTTTATCTTTTATCAAGAAAATTTTAGTCATTTTATCCCAAAAGCCTCACCTGAATTTCCTGTTTTCGTTGAACAGCGCCAACTCCGACTCCGCGACGCCTTGTAGCCATTCGATGCTGAAAATAAGTCAATTAACTGCTATGATTTCAGTGAAACGCCAATAACAACAAGAAAAAATACCAATTTGTTAACTTCTTAAAAAACAGCACACAAAATGTTTATTTGTTTATCGATGAGGTCACGAAGAGAACGGAATTCTTGCGGCGGTAAGACTTGAGAGTATTTTTGGAAAGTTGCCTTTGGCAAGAAACGCGACGCCGACGAAACTTTACACGCAACGCCCCGGAAAGTGTCGGGAAATATTTTCGATTCTCTTTCCCTCTCACGTTTTCATTCGTTCAACCCATTCCATTGTGTGTTTTTTTGTCGACTCAAACTATTCAACATGGATTTTTTCAAGCTCATCGCCGATTTGGATGATCAGCCCAGCGTTTCGGACACCGTTTGCCCATTTTTTGCTCTTACTTTGCAGACGAATCTCTAATTTAATACATTTTCGATAAAATCTGATTGATAAGGACTCCATTTCTCTTAAAAAACCACTAATTCTTTACTTGGTCAGCTTTCTAGAGGTTCGTCTGTACGTAAAATATAAAAAATGCCTCAAAAATTTGTCTCGGGGCTAAAATGCTAACCTCAAACTTGGAACTTAAGCCTAAACTTCGAAACCTTTGATGATTTGATTTTAATTTTCTTTGTTCAGAAGCCCCAATCTTCTGGTGATTTCGTCGCTTCATCGACTTCAACATCGGCCAGCGACAAGAATGCTTTTGATGCTCTTCATGGTGTCGACGACAACACAGAAACATCTTTCAACAACACAGAAACCTCGTCGACGCAGAACATTTCTAAGGATTCGCTGAAGAGGGTAAATAATTTGTTTTAGCAATTCGTTCATCCATTAAGTCTGTTTCTTTGTTGTTTATAGGCGTATTGAAGAAACAATTGATTTCTAACTTTAGAAACGTGAACTGACGCCTGAAGTGTCCACTGCTGAAGATGAATCGGTCAATAATAACGGCATCAAGCAACATGCATCGGACAAGTGCTTGCTTAAAAAGGTATGGTTTTGAATAGTTTATAATTGTTTAGAGTTTTTGTAGTTGTTTGTTACACATTTTGTGCTATTAATTATTTGTTGTCGATATTCACAATTTTTAGAAAGCCAAGTTGGAAATTGTTGAAACATCACAAGTGGCTCAAGCTTCAACTTCGAAAGCACACATCTATGCTGGGGGTGAATTGGAAGAAAATGATGATGTTAAATACTACTATCAGAAAAGCGATGACTACCGAAATTTGATCAAACAGGTAAGCTTTTGAAACTAATTAAAAGAAAATGTTAATAAAGGCGTTTTTTAGCATATGAAAGCAATTTTTAAGCTTCTGAGCATTGTAGTTTTAGACTATCAATGAAATGCCTGAATGGGAGAGCCCACTTCACTCACTGGAGAAAGACCGCGACTTGGTCGCTCAGGAAGTCGCCGAGTCACTAGAAGCGTTGCCCATGCAAAAGACGAATGTAAAAGGTAAATGTGTTAAGTTCGGTTTTAAAAGACATTTTTTAGATAAGCGATGCCAATTTTGTTCAATTGTATGTGCATCTATTCAATCACTCATTCGCCACATTGAACGAAAGCATCCGGAGCAGAAGGATCAATGGAGTCAAACTTATGTTCAAGAGGAAAATGTAGGCTGATCTCCGCTTTACAAATTAAGTCTACTTTCGCAGGTGGCCAGCTTGCCAGTCGCTTGTTCAAAATGCAACAAGAGGTTTGCCACCGTTGAATCGTTTCGCTATCACGACAAACGAAAGCATGCGCAGAATCTTCCTTTCGATTGCACTCTCTGTGGAAAGAAGTTTGTTAATGTCATCTTATTCAGCTAATTTTCTTTTAGGTATCCTATTGCTTCGGAGTTGCGCAAACATCATCGCCGTGTGCACAATCGTGTTTAATGTGTCGAGGTTAAACGAAATGTAGTTTGATATTTTGTTATTTGTGTGAGCCGTGTTACGTTTTGGCGTTGTTAACTTTTATTTGGTATAAATGTTTTTTTAACAGCTATGCTAAGTCCTAAGTCCTGAAATTGAAAAGTTTAGGGGTGAAAGAACATGAGTTAGATTTTCATGTTCAAAACTAAGCTCGCAACAATAAAGAAAGCTATATTTGTTCGAGCATTTGCTCTTATTTCAAGGAGCTAAACAAGTTAGTAATGTGTTTATTTCTTGGGAAAATGCATAAATAAAATGTTTATTGAAATTAGTTTTGGATGATGTTCGCTCAAAGCCGACTTCTTCTGGGATCCGTTTTCCTAAAAGAAGAAATTGAGTTACTCATGCAATATTAAAGCTGTTCTATTGCTTTTTATCCCATATTATTCTTGTTAAATCAAAATCTCGTTAATCGTCTACTTTCTTATTCTCTTTCGGCTCACCGGTACTCTTTTGATTGCCTTTTCCAGATCCCTTTTAGTTGCCTTTCATTGACGATTTCTAAATGAAAAGTTTTCTATCAAAAAAGCGAACACCGTGCCTGTTCTTGGCCGATTTTTTTCTTTTTCATTCTTATGACCTCTTTGAGTCTAAAAAGAATACTTATTCAATTGTCTAATCAACAAGAAAACACTCACAGAATCTTTATTCTGCTTTCTTGATAGCGATTCTTGTGTGGACTCGACCATTCGCTTCGAAACCTCGGTCACCTTCGTTGACGTCTGAAAAGAATCGTAATTACAAGATTTTACCCATTTTTTTCGGTAATTTAAGGATTTAATTGAAGTTCCTAAATGTAAATTTTAATTTCATACATTTTAAAGGTGAATAAATTCAAAACGAACCAGCAATAAGCTGGCCTCTTTCTTTGTGGAGCGTTTATCCTTGTCAACTTGAAGCGTTTTATTCTTCGTTTTACTCTTCGATTGACTCTTCGATTGCGATTTTCCACCCGGTTGCGGTAAATCTAAAGTTAGACGATAAATCCACCAAACTATAAACAATCTCCCTACCTGGCGGTGTTTTGAGCTCTTTGTCGACATCTCACGCCTTTATTTTCGTACTTTTGTGGCTGTGCTAAAAGAAAAGATTGAAACGAGGCTGTTTGCTCTGTAAACGAGGCTCTGTTTAAAGCTTCAAGGCTTATTCAAAAAAAAAACTTGGATGGATCTTTTAGATCAGACCAGGAAACTAAAATTTTGCCAAAATTAGCTTAACGCTTAATCTCCGTTGATCGCTTAATCTCAGCGGAGATTAAGCGATTAAGCGAAGTCTGTCAAAGCCTTGTAATGTTGTTTTTACAAAACTTATCAATAAAAAGATCCATTTTAAACGCATGGTTAGAAGAGTGCTTTTTTTTAAACTGTTTCATTTTATCTTTTTCAAAAATCCTCACTTCACTGGGCACTCCACTCCGAAGTGAGCCCCGTAGTGAGCCCCGTCGTTTCGTTTCTTTATTTCCTGCTTTCCCTTTTTGCCATTTTTCTCGCCACCGCTTTTCTTGCACATCGACGTCACCTAAAGTTAACAATCAATGTGAAAGTACAGTTGATTTTTACGATTGTTTTTCAAATTATCCGCCTTTTAGATTACGCACCACTGACGAGGAACGCCGTCTGGACAAGATTACGGTATTATACGATAGTTGGTATTATACATTTAGAAAATGCTCTAACGCTCTAAAAATAAGTTACAGTTTGACTTACAGGGCCCGGCATAAGTATGGTTACAAGGTTGTAACATTGATTTAAGAAACTGATTGATTTTTATTTCTAGGATTATTTTTTCTTAATTTGAATGCTTTTTTATATTATGTAGCAGTTTTAAAGCAAATTTTTAAGTTTGGACATAATGGTGAAGGCTTCTCCCAACCGTGCCGCTATTCTTCAGCTTGGAGCACAAGGACGATCAACTTCGGATATTGCCAAACTGCTGAAAATGAATCGAATGACGGTATACCGCATTTTGCAACAAAATAAAAAACAAACAAAAACGAGCACGTGTGGCTGACTGGTTAAGTGTCTTTTATCTTAATCGGAAGGTCGAGGGTTCGAACCCCACATGCGACATGGTCACCCCCTTCGGATTTCCTTTCCCTTCGGGTTGAGAGGTTTTCTGGAGGGCAGTCTGGTGGTTGTGGCCCCAGTTCTTTAAAGTGACAAGCCACTCCTTCATCGTCATCTTCCCTTCACCACCAAAAAAGCTATTTAGTTCCCCATTGAGCTTAGGGTTAGGGAGCCGTCTGTCATGACGTGGGTTAAGTTAAGATATAGCCTAGTATTGTGTGTGTCGTTGTATTGTGATTGATATATTTCGTGTATGCGATAAATTCACCACTGGTAGCCCCAGTCGGTATTTTTAAAATGGATTCGAAGAGCTTCCTAAAAGTGGACGTCCGCCAAAAATTGATCAGAGATCAAAAAAAGATCACACGAGACTCAAGAAAATCATTAAGAAACGAATCAAGCGCAATCCTGCCCGGAGTATGAGAAAAATGGCTCCCCAATTGAATGTTTCTGATAGAACTATCCGTCGTATCGTCAAAAAGAATCTGGGTCTTCACCCTTACAAGTTAAGGAAGCATAATGGCCTGACGAGAAACAGGAAGCAAAAATTTGCTCTTCTTCTTGCAAGGGTCGCAAATGATGAGCATCTGACGACGCTTTTTACCGACGAGAAATTATTCAACATTGAGCAAGTTTTCAACTCTCAAAATGATCGAATTTTGGCTCACAGCCCTCAGGAAACAAATAAAAGTGGCCGATTTGTGGACAGGAACTCACATCCAGCAGGAGTCATGGTTTTTGGCAGGGGTGTCAGCAACTGGTCGCACACCGTCGATTTTCGTTGGTAAACGGCTGAAAATTAACACAGACGTGTATCTGGACGTTCTCACAAAACATGTACAGCCGTGGAGTCAAGGACATTATCAAAATCGTTGATAAAGGGCTGAAAATGAACGGACGTTGATGCCAGACGGCGCCCCAGCGCACAAAGCAAAAAAGACTCAAGAGTGGTGTCAAAACAATTTTCCCGACTTCATTCCCGCCAATGGATGGCCAGCTAATCCGCCCGACCTCAATGTTATGGATTTCTGTGTTTGGGCAATTTTGGAGCAAACGCAAGCAAAGCAAACGCAGCAAAGCAAGCAAAAGCATGCACAACAAAACATGGAAACGTTGAAAGTCTGAAAAAGGCTCTGAAAAAAGCCTGGGCGGAAATTCCAAAGTACCCTGCGGAAATTCCACAAAGTACGCCGTGAAAAGTTATCCAAAGCGTCTTAAAGCCGTTATCAAGAATAAAGGTGCCCATATTGAATAATTTGTTTGTTTTTTTGTTTGTTAATTTGTTATTTTTTAAATGAATATGATTACTGTTGTTAATTTTAAATAAAGTTTACATGAATCCGTTCATATTTCATTACGATACACGGTTCTGAGTAGAGTTCGGCAAACAAAACCAAAACCAAAACAGACCAAAACCAAAACCAAAACCAAAACAGACCAAAACCAAAACCAAAACAGACCAAAACCAAAACCAAAACAGACCAAAACCAAAGCCAAAACCAAAGCAGACCAAAACCAAAACCAAAACCAAAACAGACCAAAACCAAAACCAAAACAGACCAAAACCAAAGCCAAAACCAAAGCAGACCAAAACCAAAACCAAAACCAAAACAGACCAAAACCAAAACCAAAACAGACCAAAACCAAAACCAAAACAGACCAAAACCAAAACCAAAACAGACCAAAACCAAAACCAAAACAGACCAAAACCAAAACCAAAACAGACCAAAAACCAAAACCAAAAACAGACCAAAACCAAAACCAAAACCAAAACAGACCAAAACCAAAACCAAAACAGACCAAAACCAAAACCAAAACAGACCAAAACCAAAACCAAAACAGACCAAAACCAAAACCAAAACAGACCAAAACCAAAACCAAAACCAAAACAGACCAAAACCAAAACCAAAACAGACCAAAACCAAAACCAAAACAGACCAAAACCAAAACCAAAACAGACCAAAACCAAAACCAAAACCAAAACAGACCAAAACCAAAACCAAAACGGACCAAAACCAAAACCAAAACAGACCAAAACCAAAACCAAAACAGACCAAAACCAAAACCAAAACAGACCAAAACCAAAACCAAAACAGACCAAAACCAAAACCAAAACAGACCAAAACCAAAACCAAAACCAAAACAGACCAAAACCAAAACCAAAACAGACCAAAACCAAAACCAAAACAGACCAAAACCAAAACCAAAACAGACCAAAACCAAAACCAAAACAGACCAAAACCAAAACCAAAACAGACCAAAACCAAAACCAAAACCAAAACAGACCAAAACCAAAACCAAAACAGACCAAAACCAAAACCAAAGCACCAAAACAAACCAAAACTCAATTTGCATATAAATTAACATGTAAATTTAAAATTGTAAAATGCAAATTTGCCTTTCACTTTTTCTCACTCCCCAAAATCTCGCGGCCGAAAAAAGGACCAAAACACGACCTCGAAATTTCGAAACAAAAAATAGCCTATGGGATAGATTTTTGGACGCTGATTTCAAATCTGCAAACAGATTTTCGCTAGCTCCTCACAATCGCGAGATATTGCCGAGTTTTGGTTAGTTTTGGTTTTGGTTTTGGTTTTGGTTTGTTTTGGTTTTGGTTTTGGTTTTGGTCTGTTTTGGTTTTGGTGGTTTTGGTTTTGGTTAAGTTTTGTTTTCCGAAGTCTAGTTCTGAGTCTGTAACCATACTTATGCCACACCCTGTAGACACTCCGGATAAGATTACGATAGCTTTTCAAATTTTCCACTTTTTAGAAAGCGCTCTAAGCTACAGTAAAGCTGTAGCTTGCCGTGGATAAGGTTAGAGTAGCTTTCCAAACTGTTTAAGCTTTCAACTGTTTAAGCTTTAAACTGTTTAAGCTTTAAACTGTTTAAGCTTTAAACTGTTCACTTTCCATTTCTCCAGATCTCCAGTTGCATTACGTTGATTGTATATATTCCAGTGATCATTGTATATTCTCTATTTCTCTTTTCCGCTTCCCCTAATGGTACACAGAAAGGGCGATGGTTGACCCGGTTCTATTTGCGCTGCGTGTTCTGCACTCCTCCATCTTTTTCCTTCTCTGTACCTTCTCTCTTTCCTTTCCATTTCTCCTTTTCACTTCTTTTCAGGACTCCTTTTTCTTATAGTCTCAGCTACTACTCCAATATTGCATTTCACTCCCGGAAATTCTTTATCTAAAAGGTTCGTATGTGAAACTTCTCACCCACCACCTTATTTGAATTTTGTTTGACTTTGGAAACCGAAATCCATCTCTGGAGCTTTATTTTGGCAATTAGCTCAAGATATTTGATATTTGCAAAGATATTTGCAAGAATAACAAGCCCTTTATGGGTTGTTCTCTGTGCTCCCCATTTCTTGGATTGTTCTTTGTGTTCCCGTAGAATAAACACACTATTTCTGATGCACTAAAAGGCAAAAACTTTCATAATTCACAGGAGAATCTCATTTTCGCCAGTAGCTCAAACTCTTGTCCATCAAAAACCTTTCCATTTTCCATTTCAAGGCGTTTTTCGGGAGATTGGGCGGTGAGTGCCATTGCCGACCCCGTCGGGGTCCTGTTATCGCTCATGCATGCCTGACTCCCCCGTTTTTAGTTCCATTCCTCTTTTTAGATCCATTCCTCTTTTTCCTCTTTTTCCTCTTTTTCCCCACTCACCTTAAAACCATCAATATTTGTATTTGGACCGTTATCGGTTTCTTTCCAATGTCTTTTCCCTTTCCAATGTCTTTTCCCTTTCCATGTCCATGTCACCGTTTTCCTTTCGTCTTTTGATTTTGATTTGATACAAGAAAATTGGTCTTTGTTTTTAGATAAACATTTCATTTACTGTTTGTAAATGAAATGCATCATTTTAAACCATTTTAAACCATTTTAAACCATTTTAAAATATTTTAAACCATTTTAAACCATTTTAAACCATTTTAAACCATTTTAAACCATTTTAAACTATTTTCAACTATTTTAAACCATTTTAAACCATTTTAAACCATTTTAAACCATTTTAAACCATTTTAAACCATTTTAAACCATTTTAAACCATTTTAAACCATTTTAAACCATTTTAAACCATTTTAAACCATTTTAAATCATTTTAAATCATTTTAAACCATTTTAAACCATTTAAGACCATTTTAAACCATTTTAAACCATTTTAAACCATTTTAAACTATTTTCAACTATTTTAAACCATTTAAGACCATTTAAAACCATTTAAAACCATTTTAAACCATTTTAAACCATTTTAAACTATTTTAAATCATTTTAAATCATTTTAAATCATTTTAAACCATTTTAAACCATTTAAGACCATTTTAAACCATTTTAAACCATTTTAAACCATTTTAAATCATTTTAAACCATTTTAAATCATTTTAAATCATTTTAAACCATTTAAAACCATTTTAAACCATTTTAAACCATTTTAAACCATTTTAAAAGCAAAACTTTTTTCTTAAGATATCTGCAATGTGATAAAGTCTATGTTTCCAATTTTATACACACAAAGCAAGAACATGTATACTTTAAACAAGAACTACTATGTACTCAACTAGTCATCCACCCCTAGTCATCCACCCTTCTTTTATGAGCTAGTTATGCTTGGGGATTGTGGTGCATTCTCTTTGGCCTTTCTCTTCTCACGCAGAACGGCTGGTTAAGTGAAAAGGGAAAGGGGGAAAAGGAAAAGGAAAGAAAGAGAAAGAAAAGAAAGAGAAAGAGAAGGAAGAGAAAGAAAAGGAAGAGAAGGAAAAGGAAGAGAAAGAAAAGGAAGAGAAGGAAAAGGAAGAGAAGGAAAAGGAAGAGAAAGAAAAGGAAGAGAAAGAAAGAGAAAGAAAGAGGCCAGAGGGGAGACCGCGCGAGCATCGATTTTTGTGTGGTTCGCTGAAAAAGGGATGTCCGCTCATTCACATAGCGGGAAATACATCCCAATCCAATTTCCCCAATCCCTTTCTGGGTATTGTTCGCAAAACCTTGCACATAATTTTACCATATTGTACCATATTGTTTTATTTATTTTCATTCATTTTCATTTATTTTCATTTCTTTTCATTTCTTTTCATTTCTTTTCATTCCACCTTTGTTTTACTTAAGACTGGCACTAAAGCACTTAAGACTGGCTGTATTCATTCCACGGGCACTAGCGGAGACATCTTTTTTTAGTTCTGGGACATTTGATACGTGCCCCGCCTCTTTGCCATTGGCAATTCAACTTTGAACTCAAATTTCTTGATGTTGGATTGTCCAATTTAAATATTCTTCGTCTCATTGGATGCGTTAAGTCTTTCTCTATTGATTGGTACAAAAAGTATTTATATTGGACAGCTCAAAGCCAAGATATTTGAGCTCAAAGTTAGATTGCCAATGGCAAGGGGCGGGGCGTATATAAAGAAGCGGGACGCCCTTGCCATTGGTATCTAACTTTGAGCTTAAATATCTTGATGTTTTGCTGTCCAATTTAAATACTTTTTGTACCAATCGATAGAGAAAGACTTGGCACATCTAATTGCCAATGGCAAGGGGCAGGGCGTATATAAAGAAGCCAGGCGCCCCTTTCATTAGCATCTAACTTTGAGCTTAAATATCTTGGCTTTGAGCTGTCCAATTTAAATACTTTTTGTACCAATCGATAGAGAAAGACTTAGCGCATCTAATGATATCAAGAACATAGAACTGTAACCGTAAATGGAGTTTTTACGGCTACAGTAGGCTATGGTAAGATCAATCTGACTTTAAGCTCAAATTTCTCGTTGTTGGGTTGTCCAATCTCAATCATTTTTATACCAATTGACAGAGAAAAACTTAACGCATCCAATGATACTAAGAACATTTAAATTGGACAACCCAACACCAAGATATTTGAGCTCAAAGTTGGATTGTCAATGGCAAATGGGACATCAAATGTCCGATTGACCTCTTTTTTTGCACTGATACAAGACTTTTCTTTGGAATTAATACTTTTGCCGGTACTGGTCTAGTACTGGTCTAGTAATTGCGATTTTAATACTGATTATAATACATTAGACTTTTGACAGTCTATTATAATCTTAGACTTTTGACACTTATAGCTTGACTTTTGACACTTATAGCTTGACTTTGGACACTTATAGCTTGACTTTGGACACTTATAGCTTGACTTTTGACACTTATAGCTTGGCTTTTGACACTTATAGCTTGGCTTTTGACACTTATAGCTTGACTTTTGACTCTGTGGTGGGTGGAAAAAGAAGGATTCCCTCCAAATCTCTTTTTAAGCTTACTATCGGTTAATTTCTCTAGTATAATGGTAAACTCTGGCCACCAGAACGATCAGGGACTCGAATAAAACTTATCTTTTGATACTGATCTACTGCAAAATTGTGCTTTTTGGAATTCTGGAGGTTCCATTATTGGAAAATAATGATTTTCTTCGTACATTCACATGGAAAAACAGCACTTTCCCAGTTTTACTCTGAATTTTATACGAATAATAAAACTGGAACTGTTCTAAACTGGAACTGGACACTTTTGGCACAAATACTCATCTTGAAAGAGGATTTTTATGATTTTCAATTGAATGCTATTCAGTGCTGGCACGCTGGCACGCTGGCACGCTTGGCACGCTGGCACGCTTGGCACGCTGGCACGCTTGGCACGCTGGCACGCTTGGCACGCTGGCACGCTTGGCACGCTGGCACGCTTGGCACGCTGGCACGCTTGGCACGCTGGCACGCTTGGCACGCTGGCACGCTTGGCACGCTGGCACGCTTGGCAGTCATTAAATCCAATGAAAATCCAGTGATCATTCAATCCAATCCAATGATCATTCAATCATTGATCTTTATTGATTCTCTAGTGTTGATAGTGAATCTTTTAAGCAGTGAATCTTTTAAGCAGTGAATCTTTTAAGCCGTCAATCTTTTAAGCAGTGAATCTTTTAAGCAGTCAATCTTTTAAGCAGTCAATCTTTTAAGCAGTCAATCTTTTAATCTAAGCAAATGCTCGAAAAAATCTTTGCTTAACATTTTCATCAAATTAGAAAAGCTTTATTTTAAAGGTTACCCTTTAAAAAAAGCCAGCAAAGAATAAAACTGGACAATATTAATCTATTGTTTATTAATTAATGAATTAATCTACTGTCAATATTAATTAATCTACTGTCATCAAATTTTCACTTTCATCCAATTTTACCAATCTTTAATTATCATTTCCAAGAAATCTTCTTATAAAACATTTTCTTCTGCCCTCTTTTCAAATGCAATATTTCTCGGAATCTCGTTTTTTTTCCCCTAAAAACGCAAAAAGCTGTGTGCGTTCCGGGAAAATTGATTTCCCCCCTTTCCCCCCTTTCCCCCCTTTCCCCCTTTCCCCCCTTTCCCCCTTTCCCCCTTTCCCCCTTTTCCCCCTTTTCCCCCTTTTCCCCGCCGAGTGACTCACCCACAAATGATTCAAACCAAAATTTAGCCATTCTTTTTCGATTTTATTTGGTTTTGCTGATGATAGAATTGAATTTCTTGTTGTTCTTGAATTCTTGAATTCTTGAATGTTCTTGTTGTTCTTGAATATTCTTGTTGTTCTTGAATGTTCTTGAATTCTTGAATGTTCTTGAATGTCTTGAATGTTCTTAATAATTGATTGATTGATTGATTGATTGATGTCATTACTTTAAGCTTTTTTTTTAAGCAAAGATGCCTTAAAAAGAGCCTTACAAAGAGCCTTAAAAAGAGCCTTAAAAATGCAAAATAAAGTTCCCGTGACTTCCAGATTGATCAAAAATTGGTTCAATTTCCAAAAATCGTTTGAGTTTCAAGAGAAATTGAGTTGAACTTAAATAGTCCGATTCCAATCATGATTCCAATTAACCTTGAGCCTTAAAAATGTAAAATTTAGTTCTCGTGACTTCCAGATTGACTAAAAATTGACTCCATTCCCAAAAAACATTTCAGTTTCAGGAGAAATTGGGTTGAACTTAAATAGTCCGATTCCAATCGCGGTTCTAATGATCCTTAGACCTTAAAAATGTAAATTTAGTTCCCGTGACTTCCAGATTGATCAAAAATTGCTTCAATTTCCAAAAATCTTTTCATTTATGTTTTCAATTGATTGATTGATTGATTGATTATTTATTGATTACCGTATTTCTTCGAATAGAAGACCGGGTAAAGGGTATCATCGCGTACTCCTGCGTAGCAGCCCTTTTGAAAATCTCTTTTCTGCATAAAAGCTTTCAATCAAGTGCTATGGGGCTGGAAAATGGCTGTTCTGTTCTGTCAAAAATCTGTTAGCTCATGTGGTATTTTTGAGTCATTTTCCAGCCCCATAGCACTTGATTGAAAGCTTTTATGCAGAAAAGAAATTTTAAAAAGGGCTGCTACGCAGGAGTACGCGATGATACTCTTTACCCGGTCTTCTATTCGAAGAAATACGGTAATTGGTGATTGATTGATTGATTATTTATTGATTGATTGATTATTTATTGATTGATTATTAAATCTCTGCAAAATTTCCATTATAAAAAACGTTTCCAGGCCGCCGCCGTTCACACAATGGCGGCAATTGAGGTAAATATTTACATTTACAATATTTATTGGGTTGGTGATTTGAAAACTGCGGCACTTTGAACTAAAATTTAACAACTAAAATTTAACAACTAAAATCTATTCAACATAAAACCATCAATTCATTCCATTCCAACCATTCCAAATAGTTCCCATTATTATTGACGACTTCTGCCCATTTTACAGGCAATTTCCGGATTCCTCTTTCTTTGTAGGGTTTTGGTTTGTGTGTGAAACAAGTGTGAGACTCAAAAATGGAGGACTGGAGATGTCCCAGTTTGGACCCAGTTTGAGCACTTTCTTCAAAAGAAACCCATTTTGGTGTCAATGGAAAAGTTGTAGAGAATCAAAAATGAGGCTTATAGCGAAATTTCCAAAAAGATACACTTAGTAGTTTCGCTTAAAATGCGAGTTTTGTTGCAAGCTTTGTGAAAATTCGTAAATTTGGCATTTCTTGAAAACCAGTTTTTGAATCTTTCTGAAAATTTGTATATAAGCTTGATTTTTGATTCTCTACAACTTTTCCATTGACACCAAAATGGATTTCTTTTGAAGAAAGTGCTCAAACTGGGACATCTGACAATCGTCCGCAGCTTTCAATTCACCAATCCAATAGAATAGGAATAGAATAGAAACCTTCGGTTTATTCTTGTTCAGTTTTTCATGGGCTTTACGAATTCGCTTTTAATTTTTTCTAAATAGCTAAAGGAATTGGCTTCTAATTGGCCTTAAAATTTTAACTATCCCTTTGTAAGTTTTGGACAACCGAATAAGAAAATGGCCGAACAGGTACGGGTGTGATTGGGTTGGTGAATTGAAAACTGCGGGCTATTGTCATATGTGACAGTTTGAGCACTTTCTTCAAAAGAAACCCATTTTGGTGTCAATGGAAAAGTTGTAGAGAATCAAAAATCAAGCTTATATCCAAATTTTCAGAATGATTCAAAAACTGGTTTTCAAGAAATGCGTAAATTTACGAATTTTCACAAAACTTGCAACAAAACTTGCATTTTAAGCGAAACTACTAAGTGTTTCTTTTTGGAAATTTCGCTATAAGCCTCATTTTTGATTCTCTACAACTTTTCCATTGACACCAAAATGGGTTTCTTTTGAAGAAAGTGCTCAAACTGTCACATATGACAATAGCCGGCAGTTTTCAATTCACCAATCCAATATTAGAATATTTACGTTAATCTATTATTTATATTTAATCCAATCAAAGAAATTAAGCAATTTAGTCAACTGAGTATCTTTTATTTGATAGGAAAACAGTTTTCTTGAAGAAATTAAGCATTGCTTTCTCTTTGTCTAAAAAAAGCGCAAACGTCACCCATCTGGCACACTGTTTTTGGCATAATTCTATAAGAAAAAAGCTCTTTTAGTCGTTTTACGGTACTGGATATTGGACTACTGTAGCTTATTTCAAGAACTCTAGGTTTTGGTGCATTTTTTTGCAACCATCAGCTCATTTTGAGTGTACTTTGTGCTCGAATCTCTAAACGCATCTCTTCTGGCGCACTGAGTTCTTCAGTTTTCTCGTGAAATCAAGCTATTGCTACAAGGAAAATGAAGGCATGAGCCAAAAAGTGCATTTCAAAGCAGGGATGTTAACTCCGCCCCTTTTTTGATCTGTTTGCCGTTGGCGATCTACGAATTTTACTCAGATCTTAGCCGGGTTTGTTTAAAAAACTTTGAATTTGCTTTGCTTCGACTTGAAATGAAATTCTCTATCGAATGAAAGCAAATTCAACGTCTTAAAAACAAAGCCGGTCAAGGTACGAGCAAAATTCGTAAATTGTCAACGGCAAACGGGCTAAAAAAGAGGCAGAGTTAAAATGGCTGCTTAAAAGGACACTCTTTATCTCCTTGTTCTAGTTTTTACAGTACTGAATGACAAAAAGAGTGAAAACCATTCATACAACTTTTTTTTTTTTTATTTCCCTCCCATTTTCAGACAGGTCTCCCAAAGGGAAATGTGGCAGCGCTTGTAAACCGGATGTCTCGTGCTGATCTCACAAACAAGCTACCCATCTCGACTAAACGTTCGTTTTTACAAATAATTTCAATGAAATACGAATAAATAGATTCTAAAGAAGGCAATAGAAGAAAATAGAAGAAAATAGAAGAAAATAGAAGAAAATAGAAGAAAATAGAAGAAAAATAAAAGAAAATAGAAGAAAAATAAAAGAAAATAAAAGAAAAATAGAAGTAGAAAACAATAGAAAACAATAGAAAACAATAAAAAAACAATAGAATACAATAAAAAACAAACCTCTGTACACTACCGTTACCTTTCCTTTTGTTCGATTTTCTTCGATTCATTTAAATTTGATCGCAAACAGTTTCCAGCTTTATTCTTAAGCTTTATTCATTCTTTCTCTACAAATTTGGTTCCTTTTTCTCTAGATTTGGTTCCTTTTCTCTACAAATTTGGTTCCTTTTCTCTCTAGATTTGGTTCCTTATCTCTCTAGATTTGGTTCCTTTTCTCTACAGATTTGGTTCTTTTCTCTACAGATTTGGTTCCTTTTTCTCTAGATTTGGTTCCTTTTCTCTACAAATTTGGTTCCTTATCTCTCTAGATTTGGTTCCTTATCTCTCTAGATTTGATTCCTTTTCTCTATAAATTTGGTTCCTTTTCTCTCTAGATTTGATTCCTTTTCTCTATAAATTTGGTTCCTTTTCTCTCTAGATTTGATTCCTTTTCTCTATAAATTTGGTTCCTTTTCTCTCTAGATTTGATTCCTTTTCTCTATAAATTTGGTTCCTTTTCTCTATAAATTTGGTTCCTTATCTCTCTAAATTTGGTTCCTTATCTCTAAATTCCTAAATCTCTAAATAAATTCCTCTCCAGGTGACAGTCACTGACAGTCATTTGAGTCATTTACATTAACAGTCATTAACATTAACATTGAGTCATTAACAGTCACTTTCCTATAAACGGTTCTACTTCTTTTTTTTTCTTTATGTTCACATCGTTTGCTTCTTCTTTCTTTTCTGATCTCTTCACAAGGAAGAAGTGGTGCAGAAGAAGAAAAAGAAGAAGTTTGCCATACGGCCTAAGTCTTTCTTTTAGGTGGAGACCCCGAAAAGGCTCTCTCTTCTACATCATTCTCTTGAAATCTTTCAGAATACACTCATTGTTGTCTTCGTTTTTTCCTTTTGCCATTGATTCACAAGAATTTCTTTAGATTTAGGGAAATTCTTTAGTAAAATTTGTCAAATACGATTTGAACTCTAGCTTTTCTAGTGCAAAGAACGCAAAGAGATTAACGCGCAAAAATTTTCCCATCAATTTCACGAAAACTTTGCGAAAGTGATTTACTGGATTTACTTTAATTTACTGGACACTTTACTGGATATAGTTTGATGTGGAAAAAAATGGAAACACACCTTTTCTAGTGCACTGAATTCTTCCATTTTTCCACTTGAATTAGTCGCAAGAGAAGTGAAGAATTCAGTGCATCAGAAAAGTTGTGCTTACGATATCTACTATATAAAAAAGAGAATTGTCCGTCTGACCGTTTGCCCGTCTGTCCGTCCGTCGGTCTATCTGTCCGTCGGTCCATCTGTCCGTCTGTCCGTCTGTCTGTATGTCTGTCTGTCCGTCCGTCCATCGTCCATCCGTCCATCCGTCCATCGTCCATCCGTCCGTCTGTCTGTCCGTCTGTTTGTCCGTCTGTCCGTCTGTCTATCCGTCTGTCCGTCGGCCTGTCCGTCTGTATGTCTGTCTGTCTGTCCGTCCGTCTGTCCGTCGGCCTGTCCGTCTGTCCGTCTATCTGTCTGTCCGTCTGTCTGTCCGTCTGTCTCTCCGTCTGCCCGTCTGTCCGTCTATCTGTCTGTCCGTCTGTCTGTCCGTCTGTCTATCCGTCTGTCCGTCGGCCTGTCCGTCTGTCTGTCCGTCTGTCCGTCCGTCTGTCCGTCGTGAGTCCGAAAACATCCAGCCAAAAAAGCCCGCGTTTTTTTTGTTTTTTAGGCTGATTTAAGCATAAAGTACATGAGAAAAAGGACTTTTAGTGGCTTAGCGCAGCACTGAGAATCTAAGAACCGGCTTAAACAGGGTAATTTTTATATAAAAGCTTAGATCTATAAAAAAATCTCTAAAATCTCTCTAAAATCTCTAAAATCTCTCTAAAATCTCTAAAATCTCTCTAAAATCGATATCTAAATCTCTCTAAAATCGCTAATTGAATAGCTTTTCAAAGAATCCAAAAAAACATTAAGAAAATGAGATAAAAATCGAAAGAAAATGACGTTTTCTCTCTTTTGTTATCATTGATTCACTCAACTAATCATTGCATTTCTTTTTTTTCACTTTTTTTTCACTTTTTCTAAAAACTTTTCAACAACTAAATCAATTAACAGATTTGAAGATTTATTGTTAAATATTAGAGATTTTAATTCAACAAATTCCGAATTCCAAATTCAAATTCCGAATTTTGATACTATTCTTACAATTTAGCCACAACAATGCGACCATCTGGTGGCCAGAAATCCCTCCGAATCGCCACTTTCGCCTATGATGCGGCGGAGAAAGATGAGCTCGATTTGTTGGTTGGAGACATACTTGAGGTGGGATTTAATGGATAAAATGGATAAAATGGATAAAATGGATAAAATGGATACCGTTTAATGGGTACCGTACTATTTTTACTATTTACTACTTTTATGCATGTACTATTAGGTTGATGCAAAAGTCTTTTTCATTTTTTTCGTACTTCTTTTGAAAAATAACAAAGTCATCAATTAAACTATGGTTTGCTCTAAATGAAAAGGGTTTATTGTTCAATTTCCCATCTTTTTAAGTCAATTTGGGTTCACTTTCAAGCAAATTCGAGAGTGAAAACGGGTTTTTCATAAAAATCTATAAAAACCTCTATAAAGAAATTGGCTGACTCAATTTCTCTGAAAATCTGAAAAAATATCTAACTTTTTGTGCTCTATCTTTTATTTATTAACATCAAGATTGGTTTCCTTAGCTAAAGCGTCTAAAATGCATCATCGAGCAGTCGCCTTTTTTGACTACCCGACTTCAGGCTCTCAAAAAAATCTAGACATAAGACATTTAAAACTCGTTTTTGCAGACATTTTGCAGAAAAATAATTGGCCTTTCGAATGCAATAAACCGTTGTTCAATTGGTGCATTTGTTACTTTTTAACGGAAGTACGAAAAAAATGAAAAAGACTTTTGCATCAACCTAATATTTCTATGTACTATTTCTATGTACTATTTCTATCTACTATTTCTATGTACTATTTCTATGTACTATTTCTATCCACTATTTCTATCCACTATTTCTATCCACTATTTCTATGTACTATTTTTTATTCCCAAATGTAGACGAGATCTTCAGCTTTCGAATGATATATAACACTCATATACCTTGAGAAAATCTTCGATCGGACGTTCGATATCTTGAGAAAATTTACAAAATAGTAAAAACGCGCATTCATAACAACCCAATAGATCGAACGTCCGATCTATTGCATAGAAGCAGTTAGATCAAGCAGCTAGATCGAACGATTTTCTAGATAAGACGTAGCATTATATAGTGTTGCGCTCTATAAAAAGATGATTTTCTCAAAAATCAAAAGAGTTGAGAGTTTTTCGTTTAGATATTTCAAATCTACGGGCATTTTTTCACTGGATTCATGAGTTTCTGTAAATTTAAAACTTCATTCGTTTCAAAAAAGACTTTAGGCTCACGAAAAATGATAGGCGCTGGTGATAGGCTCTCGAAAAATAGCTTGTAATTGGTGATTGCTTTGAAATTAGTCAAAAATGTGCCAAGCCAAGATAAGCCAAGAGATAATGTAGTCAAGATAAGCCAAGATAAGCCAAGAGATAATGTAGCCAAGATAAGCCAAGATAAGCCACGAGATAATGTAGCCAAGATAAGCCAAGATAAGCCAAGAGATAATGTAGCCAAGATAAGCTTGCGTTTGCAATAATGGAGCTTAAAAAGCACTAGTTTTATATTAATTAACTCTAAGAACGATTTGAAAGAAAAAGCAGAAAGAGAAATGAAGAAAATGACGGAAAATGACGGAAAAGATGACTTTTTAGAGCAATAAAACTTTTTAGAACAATAAAAGCAATCAAAATTTGTCAAAATTTCAGTTCATCAAAGAAAGCGAAGACGGCTGGGCGATCGGAAAGCGACAACGCGATGGGAGAGAAGGATTATTCCCGACGAATTTCGTTGACGATTATAAACAGGGTAAGGTCTCGAAATGCTCAAGAAATGCTCAAGAAATGCTCAAGAAAACAGCAAAAACCCCATTGAGTTATTGTGTACCACGAATTCTTCAGCCGTTTCCCCGTCAACAACGCGAGAAACGATTTCCACTCATCAAATCGGCTCAACCACTTCAGACCTAAACCAAGCGCAAGCACAAGTCACTCGATCGGCAACTGCTGCGAAAAGAATCAGTCAAAGTGAGGAGAGTTGAAAGATAAAAAGATTGTTAACATAAAAATAGCTAAACTAAAATAACTAAACAAGAACTTTCAGATTTGGATAGTTTTATTGAAAGCGAACTTTTACAGGTGAATCAACCCCGGTACCCAACGAGAACACGATCAATGGAAACACTCTACCCCAACCACAACCGACTATCCCAACAACCACAGCAACTCCTCCAAAAACAAGCGATGTTCAAGGTTTGGATAAAGAACATTTCAATCATTTCAATCATTTCAATGATTTCAATGATTTCAATCAATTCAATGATTTCAATGATTTTATGAATGAAACATTTCAATCTAGCCAATCTAGCCAATCGCTATTTTGAAATTCTTTATTAAAGATATTTTAATGGTAAAAAACAGAATTTATCTACTCTAATCTACATTAATTTATCTACTCTATATTCATCAATACATCAATAACATCCTGCCACTTCCGGCAGAATGTTATCCGTCAACAAATAGATAACATGTCCGTAATATTGGGTTGTCCAGTTATGAATGCGCGTTTTCTTTTTCTCAAATTTCTCAAGATATCGAACAGATGTATTTGAGTGTTATATATCATTCGAAAGCTGAAGATCTCCTCTACATTTTGATATAAAAAAGCTTTTGAATTTGTTCAGCTTTTGGGTAAATTGACTGCACAGAAGAGGTCGTTTTCGAAAAAACCCCATTCCAGCTGAGCTATTCCTCAAGTTTTATGGTGTAAAATAACCGCCCAGAAAAGAAAAGAAAAGTAAAGATGCTCCGAGATTGTTATATTTTAAAAAAAACTTGTATTGATATATCTATTGGCCAAACATCAAACGGTTAACTCAATTTGAGCGGAGTCAAAACTTGATCCAAAGGCACCCTTCCATTTTTTGGCCACCTCTTCTTCTGTGCAGCCAATTTGCCCAAAAGCTGAACAAATTCAAAAGCTTTTTATATCAAAATGTAGAGGAGATCTTCAGCTTTCGACTGATATATAACACTCAAATACATCTGTTCGATATCTTGAGAAATTTACAAAATAGTAAAAACGCGCATTCATAACTGGACAACCCAATACATCGAGTAGAGAATTTTCTTTCGAAGCTCGTAAAAATCTACTTAATAACTTTATAATGATATCCAGATAGCGTAAAAAAACTTGAGTTTTCGAAATTCTTCTATTGGAAAAAAAGTTATGAAGACGAACGGTTTTCAATTGAACAACTTTTTTTCCAATAGAAAAATTTTGAAAACTCAAGTTTTTTAAGGCTATCTGGATATCATTATAAAGTTTAATAATAACTTTAATTTACTTATTAGGTTGGCCGCAAAGTTCTTTCCGTTTTTTGACGCTAGATCTAACTTTTTATTTTACGCATCAAAAGCGCCAAATAAAAAAAACAAAATTTATCTACTCGAAATATTCACCGTCAACATCAATAACATCCTGCCACTTCCGGCAGAATGTTATCCGTCAACAAATAGATTCCGCGGCGGTAAAACTCACGTGGCTTCGAATCGAGTGAGCGAGTGACAAACTGAGTGAGTGACAAGCGCATTTCCTCGACGTTTTGAAAGATCTTTCCACGGAAATGATGCTCCAGAGACCTGAAAAAATGAGAATCGGACGATTCTGGACAAAAAAAATGATAATTGGACGATTCTGGACAAAATACCTGAACCGATGGCGGGTGATAATCGGACGATTCTGGATCACCCGCCGTACAGCCTCGACAAGCGCACCATCGGACTATCATCCGTTTAGGTATTTTGTCCAGAATCGTCCGATTATCATTTTTTCATGTCTCTGAAGCATCATTTGCGTGGAAAGATCTTTCAAAGCGTCGAGGAAATGCGCTTGTCACTCACTCAGTGACAAGCCACGTGAGTTTTACCGCCGCGGAATCGATTTGTTGCCAACTTCGCCAAAAACAAGCGATGTGCAAGGTTTGGACAAAGAACATTTCAATTCAATCATTTTATGAATGAAACATTTCAATCTAGTCAACTAAACACTATTTCGAAATTCTTTATTAAAGATATTTTGGTGGCCATTTCATTTTCATGGTTGGACATTTAATGTTGCACCAAGATTCACGTAAATATTCTAATAGAAGGAGCCGACTCTTCTCTTCTTCTAATAGAAGGAGCCGACTTTTCAATTTCCCCTCTAAAACTCTGGCAGGGCGCGCCCCGCCTCTTTATATACGCCTCGCCCCTTTTTATACGCCCCGCTCCCCTTGCCATTGGCGATCTAACTGTGAACTCAAATATCTTGGTGTTGGGCTGTCCAAAAGCTAGATTGCCAATGGCAAAAGGGGCGGGCAAAAGCGTATATAAGGGCGCAGCGCCCCTTTTGCCATTGGCAACCTAACTTTAAGTTCAAATAACTCGGTGTTGGGCTGTTCAATTTGAATACTTTTTGTACGAATCGATAGAGAAAAACTTGGCGCATCGAATGAGACTAAGAACTTATAAATGGAACAACCCAACACCGAGAAATTTGAGTTCAAAGTTGAATTGCCAATGGCAAAAAGGGCTGGGCGTATATAAAGAGGCGCGGAGACCCCTGCCATTAGCAATTCAACTTCGAGGCGCGGGGCTATAATGTTCCACATTTTGATAGACGTCGAATCACATGGGCAAATGAGAAGGCAAATGAGACTTTTTCCAGAAATGGCTCGCGTTCTCTACACATATCAAGCCTCAAACGCGGATGAGATCTCACTGTCGAGAGTCGGCCAATTGGTGAAAATCGTTGACAAGGTTTGTGATGGATAAATAGGTGTTTAAGCATACTGGACCGACAACGATAACTGAATTATCATATTCCTTTTTCTTCTCTGGCAAAGAGATACCGGATAGCTGAGTGAGCAGCTCAAAGAGATACTGGAAAGAGATAACTCTCGACCTTTTTGCTGCTCTAACCACTGCACTCAATGGTTAGAGCAGCAAAAAGGTCGAGAGTTCAATCCACTCTCTGGAAATCTTTCTTTTCCATTTCTTACTTTACTTTACTATAGACAAGGTTGTTTCAAACCCAGGCCAGATCACTTTGAAGACCACTTTGAAGACCAGGCTTTGAAACCATAAAGTCTTAGACATCTCTGATTAGAAGTACGATAATTATTAGCTAAATAGCTGAATAGAAGAGCTTTAGAGCAAGCTTTAGAACATGCTTTAGAGCAAGATTTAGAGCTTTAGAGTATGCTTTAGAGCTTTAGAGCATGCTTTAGAGCTTTAGAACAAGCTTTAGAGCTTTAGAACAAGCTTTAGAGCTTTAGAACAAGCTTTAGAGCTTTAGAAAAAGCTTTGGAGCTTTGGAACAAGCTTTAGAGCATGCTTTAGAGCTTTAGAGTATGCTTTAGAGCTTTAGAACAAGCTTTAGAGCTTTAGAACAAGCTTTAGAGCTTTAGAACAAGCTTTAGAGCTTTAGAACAAGCTTTAGAGCATGCTTTAGAGCTTTAGAACAAGCTTTAGAGCTTTAGAACAAGCTTTAGAGCTTTAGAACAAGCTTTAGAGCTTTAGAACAAGCTTTAGAGCTTTAGAACAAGCTTTAGAGCATACTTTAGAGCTTTAGAGCATGCAAATGAATAGCTATCACAACTGGGTATGGTAGCTGAGGAGTATGAGCAAATTTTAGAAAGTCGCTTCATGAATACGGAGCTGGAGATACAGTATCTAGGAAAACTTTAGAAAAAAATCCAAAGTCTAAAAGATATTTAGCTATTTCTTTTCTTTTTAGAACCCTGACGATCCAGGATGGATGCTTGGTGAGCTGGACGGAAAAAAGGGACTGTTTCCGGAGAATTTCGTTGAAATTGTCAAGGTAAAACTTGAAAAAACTTGAAAACTTGCATTTAACTTGCATTTAATTTGCATTTAACTTGCATTTAATTTGCATTTAACTCTTTTATCTAATAGCTAATAGCTTTATCTAATAGCTTTACCTAATAGCTTTATCTAATTCCTTTTCTAATTCCTTTTTACTGTCAACCTCTAGAAACGTGGCTTGTCTAGAAGTGAAAGGGAGAAGGGAAGTTTCTTTGTTTGCTTTAAATTTACAAAATTTCCCTTATCACTGGCTAATTTTAGCTAGATTTTAGCTTATCGAATTTCGAATTTCCAATTTACAGGTCAGCTCATCTCCATCGCAAAAGCCGCCGGCTCGTCTGCCCGGCGGAGCACCGACAACACTGACAATTGCAACGAATTTGACCCCACCGATCGTGCCGGCGAAACCACCGAAAAATGTGCTCAGCAGCAGGTGAGACCGACAGCAGGTGTACTGTAGTGATTTGTTCTTCTTAAAAGCTTTTATCCAGGCTTTAATCCAGGGTGACCAGAAATAACGTTGCGGCCTAATTTAGCCGATTTTTTTTCAAAATCCAAAAAGATTTTGTAACAGAAAGAATTTTTTATCAACAACATGATATAAAGAGAGCATAAAATCGACTTTTCTTCAAAGTGGCCATCTTTGGCCATCTTTGGCCATCTTTGGCTCCGATGCAGAGCCTCAAAGGCTTGATGAAGTTTTCGGCGATGGGCCGCAGCTCGGCCGGGAGTGATTCGATCCCATTTCCTGGTCCAACGATCGCTTAAGAGCCTCCAAACTTTTGTGGGGTTTTGCACAAGCACTTGCCTCCAAAATTGACCAAACACTGTAGTCCAACGGATTGAGATCGCACGAATACGGAGGCCATTCCTGGGCCGAGATGAAATCCGGAAAGTTTGTTCTACGCCAGTCCTGTCCATTCGTCTCTTAAGAGCCTCCAAACTTTTGTGGGGTTTTGCACAAGCCTCCAAAATTGGCACAAGCCCTTGCCTCCAAAATTGGCCAAAGACTATAGTCCAACGGATTGAGATCGCACGAATACGGAGGCCATTCCTGGGCCCGAGATGAAATCCGATTAGTACAATATTAATACAGTACAGGGTGGCTGAAAATTACGTGCGCCAAAGAAAACGCCATAATTTAATTTTCTTTCAAAGAAAATGTGAAAATATTTATTTATATAATAGTTGTAACAAAAGCATTTAATAATTAAAAGAAATTTTCTAAGTGGCCTCCATCCGCTTTGATACAGGCTTCAATTCGCTTCTTTACAGAATCGACGGTGCGGCGAAGATAATTTGCATCTAAGTCGTTCCAGATTTTGATCAATTCTCGACGTAAATCATTCAAATTGGTGATTTTCCTATTTCTCAATTTTTCTTCCATAAAGCCTCGATGCGATCGACGAGTTCTTCATGCCGCTCGTCGCCAGCTGTGCGATTGCGTCCCGACTAGCGCCGAAAGTTTGTCCTACACCAGTCCTGTGTGGATTTGGCTCGATTAGAAGGAGCGGAGTCTTGTTGGAAGGTCCAAAATCCGTTACCAAAATGCTGTTGAGCCCATGGAAGCAAAACATCCTCAAGAAGCTTTTTTTGGTACGCATCCTTATTGATTTTTACCGCAGAATCGATGAAAATGAGAGGAGTTTTGCCGGTTGCGCAGATTCCGGCCCATACCATGGCCGATTTGGGATTTTGTCGGTGTTGAACAATCGCAGAGCTGCCTGGAGAGGACGTTGACCAAATCCGATCGTTTTGGTGGTTATAGCTTTGCTCCACCGAGAAGAGCTTCTCGTCAGAAAACAGGATTCGCTCCCAGTGTGGAGTTGCGGCCCGCTTGAAAAGCTCTCGACATCTTTTGAGTCGAACTCGTTTGTTGTCGCCGTCGAGTTGTTGCCCTTGCTTGAGCTTGTAAGGGATTGAGTCCAACGGATTGAGATCGCACGAATAAGGCCATTCCTGGGCCGAGATGAAATCCGATTAATACAGTATTTAATACCTAAACTTGTAGCAAAACATCTGTCCATCCCTTTTTGCCAATGGCAATTTAAGGTTTTTCTTGTTTTTCTCAGCACCAACCCTTCTAATTTCACTATTTTGACTATCGTTCGATGCAGAATAAAATTGCGTGTCGAATGATACCAATCGAACCATTTTAAAACAAAAAAAAATTTGATTTAGATAATAGATAATTTCAAGATAATAGATAATTTAAAGTTTAAACAAAAACCCATCAAGGAGACGATCATTTGAACGTCGAAAAACCCGTTCATTCACTCATTCACGTTCACTGCTTTCCCCTCATTTGCAGCCACACCAGCCAACAGCCACATCAGCCTAATTGACTCGTGGGGATGAGATTAGAGAACTCGATTTTAGCCTCTAGATCTTATAGATCATTCAGTAAGGTTAAATCCTTTGGTGGATGCTACTGCCACTATCCAGTTGGATTGTTGGATGCTACTATCCAGTTGGATTAGTGGATGCTACTATCCAGTTGGTGGATGCTACTATCCAGTTGGATTGGTGGATGCTACTATCCAGTTGGATTAGTGGATGCTACTATCCAGTTGGTGGATGCTACTATCCAGTTGGATTGGTGGATGCTACTATCCAGTTGGATTAGTGGATGCTACTATCCAGTTGGATTAGTGGATGCTACTATTCAGTTGGATTAGTGGATGCTACTATTCAGTTGGATTAGTGGATGCTACTATTCAGTTGGATTAGTGGATGCTACTATTCAGTTGGATTGGTGGATGCTACTATCCAGTTGGTGGATGCTACTATCCAGTTGGATTGTTGGATGCTATTATCCAGTTGGATTAGTGGATGCTACTATCCAGTTGGATTGTTGGATGCTACTATCCAGTTGGTGGATGTTACTATCCAGTTGGATTGATGGATGCTACTATCTAGTTGGATTGTTGGATTTTGATGGCATATGTACATATGCTTTTTGCGTACACATGCCATATGTACATATGCCTTTTTCGCTGAATCTTATGTTGATTCCGAATCTAAAAAGATCGAAAATCTAAAAATAGTGAAAACATTGACTTTTTCTATTAGAATTTCAAAGGTGCCCTTCTTCGGAAGGGCATATCTCGGCGATAACAGTAAAAGAACGTGCCAAACTATATCCACCAACCCAATAAATACCTTGATTTTATATAGAGGAACTTTATTTATCAAATTCAAGTTTATAGAGTAGAATATCTTCTTATTTTAGCACATCAAACGTTTCGACTGAGCCAATGTTGTGGGCGAGTCAAAGTGTGCCTGGAAGGCCATCATCGGCGACAACTACAGCCACAAATCAAGCAAGCGGTCGACAAACGAGTGGTGGAGTGAATGCACTGAAGAATCAATTGATGCAACAGGTTTGAGTGTACTTTGTGCTATGCTTTTCGAGTGTACTTTGTGCTCGAAACCCACCTTTCTGGTGCACTGGAGTTCTCGTTTTTTTTGCTCCTGTTTCGGTGTTTCGACGGTGTTTCGTTGCCACGAGAAAACTAGAGCTTTCACTGCACCAGAATTGGTACGTTTACAGACTTGCGCACAAAGAATACTTTAAGTTGAGTTAAGGAATACTTTAAGTTGAGCTAAAGTTAGTGCACATCTATTCATCGTTCATTCAATCGTTTCATCGTTTTCATCGTTCTCTAAATCCCCCAAAATCGGGATTAACAGCACTTTTCCTCACCAAAGAAAATCTTATAATAACCCCTTTGCTTTTTCCCTTTTTCTTTTCAGCTTTTCAGCTCTCCATTTTTACTTTTCTTTAAAGTTTATCTTCTTTTAAAGATTACTTTACTTTACTTTACTTTAAGCTTTACTTTACTTTACTTTACTTTACTTTAAACTTTACTTTAAACTTTACTTTAAGCTTTACTTTACTTTACTTTAAGCTTTACTTTAAACTTTACTTTAAGCTTTACTTTACTTTACTTTAAGCTTTACTTTACTTTACTTTAAACTTTACTTTAAACTTTACTTTAAACTTTACTTTAAACTTTACTTTAAACTTTACTTTAAACTTTACTTTAAACTTTACTTTAAACTTTAAAATGAATGAAACTTTACAATGAATGAAT